ATACGTACGATTCGATTTACTGAACGCGTGCTTGCGTGCTGATTTCGATTATTTCATTCGGCAGATTTGCTACCTTGTCGAAGAGTAATTTCTTACCTCATTTTAATGTGTCTACCTGATTAATCAATTAAATGATACATATTGATAAAACTAAAGGCAATTAACTTCGCTTACTTTTTTTATTCGTGCTTATGTGGCTTGATCCCTTTGCTACCATCCTGAATCTGTCATGGCTATTTGGATTAAACATCTTTTTCAAATGCTAATTTAGCGCCATATCCGTAAGGTGTATTCGATCAATTTTATTCCACATTCCATTTCATATGATTGGTTGTTGCTTGATATCCCCGGTGTGGCTGCGCTTGATGTGTATGTTGACAAGGTGCCTACCTGTCCATTATCCCCTACCCCGACTATACTGCTTCCAGGCGACAGCTAGTCGTTGCTGAAGGGAAGGGGTGCACGCTCCTCTTGGCCGTGCTAGGCTCGAAGAGTGGTTCCATGCACTCAGTATGGAGCGGACTACGGTCCAGCCACCGCCTTGTGTGCGACTGATCCCCAAATACAGCATGCTTGTGTTTGCCTTTGAAGGAGTGGGCCGGCTCCGTTGATGAAACGTGGCTCCCATCCTCATGCCTCCCGGTCTTATTTCTTCGGGTTTACACTGGATATGGGGTGTGTGGATAGAGCTCTGGGTGTTGCAGCGCAAGCCATCCATGGTCCCTCTGTACGCGCAAGCATCCTGTGGCTGTCCCCGTGGAGGCCACAGTGACAGGCAAATCAGAAATCGAATGACGCCAGTCATGTTACCCTGGACATTTATTTGTTTTGTTTCCACCTAACTTTTGGTAAATCGCTAGGACAGGCCAGCCCTTTTTATTTACTAAGATTGCCGCTTTAGGCTTTTGTTACTAGACCCTGCTGTTCTTATGTTTAATTGAGCTTATACTGGAACTTTGTTCCAAGATCCAAGAATGCCTCAGTTCTTCTGAGGCATTCTAAGGAATTCATTGGCACCAACTTCATTGAGCGTATCCGCGAGCTTCTGACTTTATATAGTTGGTGGCATATAGTTTCGGATTTGCGTATCACTGTGGTCAGCCAAAGGATGCCTGCGCCTACAGAGGGACCTTGGGTGGGTTGCGCTGCACCACCCACAGCTCCAACCACACACCCCAACCCCATATCCAGTGTAAACCCAAAAGAAGAAGACGGAGAGGCATGTGCATGAGAGCCACTTTTCATCAACGGAGCCGGCCTACACTCCTTCACAGGCAAACACAAGCACGCTGTATTTGGGAAATCAAGCGCACACAAGGCGGTGGCTGGACCGTAGTCCGCTCCACACTGAGTGCATGGAACCACTCTTCGAGCCTAACATGGCCACAAGGACCGTGCACCCCGTCCCCTCCAGCAACCACCAACTGTCTCCTGGACCCAGTATGGACGAGGTAGTGGGTGATAGTCAGGTAGGCACCTTGTCAATATGCACATCAAAAGCAGCCACACCGGGGATATCAAGCGACAGCCAATCACTTGAAATGGCGATATCAAATAAAATAAACCGAATAATTACAGAAGAATAGTAGGGGGAGTTGAATGGTATAGGTCAAAATCCCCTACATCTAAACGCACTCAGACAGCCGTCACACGCCCGGAAAAGCAGTGTACGCGCGTTTCACCCCTTCGGGAATCGTCAGCAGTGTGCACCCCATCGGATCCTGGTAGGACTCGGACCCGCAACTCGACTGTTGCCAGTCCGTGGTTGAGACCACTGAGCTACCTGAGACGGCAACGAAAATCGTAAATAAGTTACTAGATGTGATAGTGAGCGGCGTTATTTCACATCTAATTACTTAGTTACGATGGTCGTTGCCGTCCCCCGTAGCTCAATGGTCTCAAGCACGGGCTGGCAACAGTCGAGTTGCGGGTCCGAGGCCTACCAGGGTCAGATGAGGTTCGCACTGTTGCCGATTCCCGAAAGGATGAAACGCGGGTACAGTGCTTTTCCGGGCGTGTGACGGCTGTCTAAGTGAGTCTAGATGTGACGAATTTCTACCAAAGCGAATATTGTATGGTGATACATTGGCATAACTCTTCAATAAATGAGCATAGAAAATAAACTGGTTAGGAACATATCCGCGGAAATTTCAAGACGTCAAAAAATATATTTTCAGAAAATGCTCAAAACGCGAAAACTTTATCGATGTTAACTACAGTGGTTTAATGCACGTGTGCAAGTTTATAGAAGATATGTCAGACAGACAATTATTTGAGAGCAAATAACATTAGAACAATATAGCAAACCCACCACCTGAAATCAAGAGACTCAGCGTGAAAATACGCGGTTAGTAAATGGAATAGAGGGTACCTAAAAACCCTACACCGGTTCTGCTTACGTTCTCTGCAAGACTCGAGGTTGTTTCGGTGCTGGCCCCGAGTGGCCTCGCTCATGGTTTACTAGGCCTGCTTGGCTAAGGCACCCACGACCGCATGTGCTACCGCACCATGCGCACGATACCGATGGAGTACAACCCATCAGCGCCTGTCACTTCCTCAGTTGCCTCTTCTTCTCTGCATACACGAGGGATTTCTCTTGCACCTCAGCAAGTGCGTTCTTGCTTTGATCACGCATGCGGGCCGATCAACCGCTTTCGATTCTCATGACCTGCAATCAAGATTAGAACGTGAGAGGCTCACTTTGATAACGTCCTGGTAAGGAAGCTTCGGTTTCCCCACATGCCGCTTTCCAACACTCAGCTGGCCAAATAATAGCTGCCTCGGTATCCGCGCGAATCCATACGCCAAACATGACCGAGCCACCTACGGTGCCACAGCAAAGGTATGCGCTCCACGGCATACATTCCACTACTGCGCAACTTGATTTTATATACCTGATTTTATATACCTGTAGCACCTATCCTTTTTGAAACCGGAACTCTGGAGTTACTCCACCCCGAACGTGCAACACGTTCATGTAATTAATAGGTCAGCTCACACACACAGTAGCACTCAAACAGTATCACGACATAAAAGCATGTTCGGGGATATTTCATCGCGATGCAGTTAATCTGTCTGCGAATTGAGTTCTCGCTAGGTAAATGTATTAATGACAATGGGACGGATTTTGTCGCTTCCTCAGCAATTCGGCCGCTTGTATGATATGGTCCAACAAGCGATGCAGTTGACGTCCGTATACGAGTGGACAACCAGAAGGGCAAGCACATTTGCCCTCTGTAAACTTACTGAGAAAGAAAATAACCATTTATGCTAGCTACCGACACCCAGTTGGAACATGCTATCATAGGTTAAATGCGGTTGTTATTCTGGAGTCCTTTTGGCAACTATTTTCACTCTTCCGGGAATATAGGTATAGCAGCTCAGGAAGTAATAGGGATATGGCGTAAACATCCCACTAGGGAGTTACAGTAGGCGTGCAGAATTCTCAGAAGTCTCACATCCAGTGCATGATGCTCGATAGATATAACCTGCTGGTCGACTTGTGTCGCTTGAGTTGTGTAAGGCTTTATGTAAGACATGTAAGCCAGATAAACCTGACTAGGATACATTTTATCATTTGTTTTGATATTCGCATTTATCCAAACAGGTCACGAAGTGGACGTTAAAAAAGTCGAACGGACAGCGTTCGACTCTCCCCCACAGATTTGAATAACTACTCAATGTGGTGATGGACAATAGGCTCACAAATGTATCAATAGAGTGGGCAAAGAATGAATGAGCAAATTAACACATCGTTGTTCTTGATCAGCACTTAGTGATACAATGACTGTACATCGCCCTGTGACGGGCATTTAAGGGTGTTGGAGGATTCGACAGCGATGGTGCTTTTGGTTCGCACTAACATGCAAGCAATCAGGGTTTTTACGAATCATTCTTGCTCGTCATCGTATGTTTACTAGGCATACCATTCGACTGCGGCACTCTCAGTAAAGCGTCTAATCATCTGTTTGATTATCTAGGCGTTGCGTTTTTATACCAACATCGGCTTTGCGACAAAAACGAGCCAACTTATAAAGGCGGGATTGAACTGCGCTTTGGGTGCACTAATTACAAAGTTGAGCTTTTGGGTTCGTATTCCATTACCAAATCTGTTACTATTCGTCTTTTTTTGGTGGTGTGGAGCGCAGCATTAACGACTTTCACGGGCTTTTCTGGTGCACATGTAGGGAACAATAGGCAGTAGTTGCAGTTAGCAGCCTCATAAACATACAGGCAGACAAGACGGTAATTTGGAAAAGCCACCTCTGCATTTGCCTAGTTCCAATAGTTGTTGAGCTCAACTCTTGTAGCGACGAATTATCTACCGCCAGGCAAAACCTTCGTAGACTCAGCAGCCTACGGAGCCGCCAGCATTTCAAATTATCTTCGAAATTACAATGGCGGCACTCGCAAACTTTAATTTTTACTGCTCTTAACTACAAGTTATACCTAGGAGATAAATATTTACCACCTATAGGCATGTAACGTACGTACTTATTTGACGTGAGTAACAGTTATTCACTAGATGACGCATGGTTGAAATGAATCTGTCTCGGTAGGGCGCGATACACATGCGAAATAAAGCGTTCATCTGACTGTTGACATTAGTGCGATAACAACCAGAAGGCGATAATTTGTTGTCCTGTGCGAAAAATGAAATTGTTATATGGACTGGTAACAAAAAATAAAACCACCAAATCAACCGATGAGAAACGGGGACCACATCTACCTCAACATTGTCTCACTTCGCTAAAGGAATTCATGGAATTTTGTCGGAATCAACTCTAGCATGTCCGGCTAACTAAGATCGGCTGCTGGTTGGCTATTGGGGCTGGACGATTATCTACTTATACTCAGATAATGTTCTTCATTGGCTGAACAGAAAATTGCCCGAACGGAGTGGTACGACTGAATTCCGAGTTGGATATTTGCACAATAAACTGCGGTTGCGCAACTGTTATAATCGCAAATCGGTAAATTCAGAAACGGTGTAATGGAAAATGTATCTCCAAGGTGCTCCGGTTGTCTTGAGTGAGTGTAAACCAAATTTTAAAAGTGTGCCACTATGTTTTCGATTGTTCTTGCTTTACAGTATTATTAACTGCAACAGAATTCTGCTTGTGCTAGTTTGGAAACGCTTCGGAATTCAGGGTAGTCGTTAGCAACTTCAAAAGAGCTGGATGAACACTAAAGCTGCATTCGCCATAGCAGTTAACTCAATATCTGTACACCCTGCTTCCCTCCATATATTAATTGGCATTGAACTTCCACCCTCTAAACCACTTATTGTTGATGGAGATGGAGGTTGAAGCCGCTGGTACCCGAATAGGGTTTTAATTTAGTATAGATACCAATTAAAGTAGCATCTTATGACAACCTCCGCTAGCAGAGCACAAACACCGTGTTTCTCTTTTGAAAGTTGGTTAGCCAGCTAATAGTTGTTGCTGTTGTAATGTCGCTGTGCCCGCTGCTTGTGGATTAAGATAACCAATACAACTCCAGCTATACACTTTTCCCAGCTAGATGAAAATAATTTACAACGAAAAACATGCTCACAGCTCTTTGGGAGGTGTGCTCTTTAGCATGTAAAGCGCTTATTCCACTCCTGTTTCTGTGTTGGTTGGAGATTGATGTGCATATTTCTGCTCCTAGAATTGTCCCAATTTTCCCTCATCGGTAAAGATATTTCACTTCACCTGATCAATAAAAGCGCTAACTCACCTAAGAGAAGCTCAGTAATGTGACTTAAAGCCGCGATGAAAATAAACTGAGGCAATTTTCAGGCTTGTTACTTAGTTTTGGTTTACACAGACAGGATCTGTGAAACGTCTGGCCTGTTTGAGAAACCAACGCTCAATTCAAAACTACCAAGTAACTGCCAGGTATGGAAATCGTACTTTCATTTCTTCACACCAACCGATATTTACCATCTAACTGAAACTCCGGAGTATTTTTAGACGGTGTAGGCAAACTTTTACAATTCCATTTTAATGTTAAACTAGAGTATGAGCGCCCGTCTCGCGTTTACTTGGTACTATCCAGAGGTATTGAAAACAATCAAATAATGCGCAAGGCAAAACACCGGAAAACATCTCAGCTACAGATTTGAACTACATGTTTAGACACTTACTGAAGGAAAGCGGACCATTAAATACACTCTATGGTAAACATTCTTTGACAGCAGAAATCCAGAATTGCATACTGCAAAACCCAAATTTCGAAATACCCAAGCTACAAAGCGTCTCACACATCCCCACTGGAATCTGGTTGTATTACTGGGCGGTACTCACAACTGCTAAGCTAGGCCAGTTTTAAAGCATTCCGAACAAGTACCTCAAGGTTGCAAACAAATATTGAAGTTCCAGCATTTTTCGTTAACCGAAGCGAATGCTCATGATTGACTACGTAAGAGGGTTGCTTTACTTCTGCTATGCTTATAACTGTTCCAAAATTAGGTAAGCTAAAAAATTGGAACTTTTGACGGAATTCAAGTTTGGACATGTTACAGGACGGATTATGTAAGTCTAACCACAGGCTGACATAGAACAATTTTGCTGCTTGTAGAGTAAGCTTGTCACAACGTTCATCGATGGAGAGTCTGGAAACAATATTTGTGTTTTTTCTCCACAGTCTTGATATTCTACATTTCCTTGACCAATGCTTACGAACAGGGTCAATGCAATTTTCCGTCGTTTTTGGTTTCCAAATTCTGGTTTTCTGAAAGCAATAGTGCCCAATCGCTTGTCGGGAAATTCGATCTCCAGAATCAGGTCATCCATGAGCGAAATTCCTCCAACTTGGATGTTGCGCAGAGCGGCTGGAGTCAGCTGCTGGTCCACGAGGCCGACCGCAGTGTCCTTCATTTGGTTGTCGACTACGGCGGGGAAGTTAACCAACATAGTACTCCGTTCAGTCAAGCTGTACTGCGTGGCGAGCGCCAACGGAGACGGTCTATCAAGCATGGACTTAAAACAATGATGAAGCCTGAACAACACGAGAATCTACCTCACATTCGGCAGTTCAATTTTATGTGTTTACGGCCCGGAAGTGCCACTAAGCTTTCGTTTCTAGTTCAATTTAACCATCATATGTACTCGTGAGTTCTACTGATTTATTCATACGCTTTCAAGTAATCAGTCAAGCTCCGGCACTTATTCATCCGTACAATTGGGTCGAACTTTTAACTACTTTGGTCACCTTATCACTTTGTCCAGGGGTATAATCCTTGCAAGAAATATGCACTGTGGACAGAAATCACTCACGGTACTTGAAATCAACCTCCAGCGGTTACGTTCTACGTAATATGTAACAGTGTTTTCTTCCATCAGTTCAGAATGTTGCTAATGATATGTTGCAGAGGCAGACAGATAGATGTAATTGGCTTTTTCTGGTTTAATCTCACGCTAGCACAGAGTTAGGGTGCCAGTAGCCAGTCGGTATTTATCACCTGATTTCTGTGTACTGTTTTTCTAAGTCTGTTCGCGCATTAAATTGCTCTTGCGTGCTACGAAACACAGAGGGAAATAGGGGATTAAGCGCTACACCACCGCAGTCAAGGGAAACAATGATGCATCACTGATAAGAAGGTGGATGTTTAACAAGACCCGTGAGACGGAGAGGGATGAGACCTACTAAAAACGGAGAAATTAGTGGTGGTGACAAACTGAACAATTTTCTGTGGACTCGTCATCGTGCTGGTATTGAAGTATGCGTAGAAAAACCTGTTTCGATTGTATAGCGTAATGCTAGTTGTGTAACCTTCCCCACATTATATCGTCTATCGAAGTACACAGGCTATACCTCGAAACCTAGGTGGGTTGGGTCGACATCAAGACGTCTTTTAACTACGGATACAGTGGGGGCGCAACCAACGTAATTTGAGAGGGAGCTCCAAGACTACCACAAATGGAAGGAGGAAAAGTTTTGGTGACAGACTAGCCAGTTGATTTGTGTGGCTAACTTGAACTTGTGACCCCTCTGCTCTGTGTTGTTTCTAAATGGTAGTAGGTGACGACAGACGTTGTTTTGGTTCCTCAGAATCTGGTAGGCCATTATTAGATTGCCATGTAGGCGCTGATACTGACCGCTATATAATATTGGGGTTTTCAGTCTGTTAATATGGAGGGTGAAATGACCCTTTACTTGATTAGTGGCTCTCCGCTGTGGAGTGTCGAGCGCTGAGGAACCTTGATTGTACCAGTGCTACAAGGCCTGGATTGAATATTCAACATGAGGCCACACGTATGTGTTAGGCATCTACGGACCTACTATCTGCGGTCTACTTAATAGTCAGCAAAATACTGCGGGTCAAGATATGGGAACAACTGATCGGTTGGCTTCGTACTGTAGGATCCAGTTCCTTGTTCGTAAACACTGACAAGTGTGACGCACAGCATGAATTCAACAACCTGTGTGACGGAATGTATACCGTACACTAGAAAGCCTGAGCTTCTCACACTGCTGTCATTGCCTGTTTGAGTACTGAGACAGGAACTTGCATGTATATGCATTAGCGATAAGCGTAATGACTCTGTGAGCATTAATAAATAGTCGTTAGTCAATCATGCTCAAAAAGAAAGGAAGCTCGGAGATGCACCGCACTGCCATGTTATTTTGGTTGCTAACACGCTGCGCGATTGCCAGCATCGACTGCCGCCTACGCCTGGGGAACCGCTACTTTACGTTCTCTCTTCCAGTTGCTTCTTCACCCCTGAGACTGTGGTTAGCTACTATGGACGTCATACACATGTTATACACATCTTAGCTGCAGATAGAAAACACCTCAGCTGTTATGCCGTAATGCTAAAGACAAGAAAAAAGGATAATGCAATAGTGCCACGTCGGCTGAGTTCCCAGTAACGGATGGACATCGTTCCCTAGAGCTAACAGCCGGCTATCGGGCCGTACAAGGAGCTATATTATGCCTAGTGATTGAGATCGTGATTGGAGGTTGACGCTAAGCAGAAGGGTGATGGACGAAGGAACTCACAACACAAACGCCATTGGGGCCGGTTCCTAGCCATATCAGCAAGTGTGTCCAAACAAACGTGTTCCCCATCCTTAGGAACCCTGCCGGATAGTCGGAATGCACCATCCGACGCCAATTTCGAAGTGAAGGTTTTCATCTCTCTCGACCAAGTCGTCGCTTGGCCTCCCCTCCTCCTCTTCCAACCGCACGCACAACGCGCAAACAATGCACGTCGCAGAAGTCGGTGTGCTGGCATGTGCAACACGTGACCCAACCATCGGAGCCTGGTGGGTGATATAATGGTGCTGAGCAGTTCACTCGCTTTTCTGCACAAAATACGCGAGGCCGACCACGCTCATTGCTCACGCGGTGCTCGCACCAGACATGAGCTAAGCTGCGAAGGCAGCGATGATCGAATATGATGAGCCTCTTTATGTCTGTCGACCTGTTGTGCCAGGTTTCACAACCATATATGAGAGTTGAACGGACGGCTGCGTTAGAAACTCTTCCCTTCAGGGCAAGAGTAATATCGCGTCTGCACCACAGGTGGCGGATATTCGCAAAAACACCTCGCGCTTTTGCTATACGGTTTGTAACCGCATCTTCGATCCCAAGGGGGGGCTAATATAGCTGCCAAGGTATTTGAATTCCTGAATAACTTCTAGCTGATCACCACAAAGCGTTAGCGCAGGGGTGGGTCCCTGCTAATCTTGGAGAAGTACTTTGCGTTTCGATGGAGCAAAGCATAGCGCAAAACGATAGACAGCCAGTGCTAATCGGTCCAGCACTGCTTGACTTGTTTGGGAGCTGTGACAGATTAGGACAGCAGTATTCAAAGTAAATCTCGAGGTTACATTACTCATACATGAATGAAGTGAAGAATGCCATGGTGATTCTACTCTGGCTCCTGCTAGGTCACACTGGCTCGGCGTTATGGAAACCTGGTCTCCAGTATGACAAACCTCGACCCTACAAGGCTCTCCCTATCAATTAGTACATTATTGCAATTATAATTAGGACCCACGAATTAGCCCAGATGAAAGAGCAACGTCTGTGGCTCCATGAACAACAATGAACAGTGATTTCTGCTGGCTAAAATAGCAGTTGCGTGACAAGTCCCGCAGGACTGTGGGGGTTAAACTACAATATCAAAAGATATGTGATTTGTTTGCGCGGTTATCCAACAGATAGGCTGTTGAATACTAGTAGTGTACGTGAGAAATTAGATGCGAACGACAAGGCAAGTGGGAACTGTTGTAGTTTATGTACTCCGTGAAAAAAAGTAAAAAAAAGAATGCTCACTTCTGTACCGCCTACTCGGATTAATGTGAACATTAATTCGGCTTGAAGGGATAATTAATAAATTCCCAAGTTGTACAGATTAGGCAACGACGTATTGCGGAAGCCAAGGGTAAGATCCAATCGCTTTTTACAGAGTTCCGAGGTGGGGGAGTTAACAACTAAGTTTGGGAGAGAGTTCCAGGGTTTGCATTCCCGAAGAGTAAAATAATTCCCCCGGCATTCCAAGCGGATATACTGGGCACTCCATTTCAGAGGGTTACCTCTGAGATTGGTGTTATGGATGCTTTTCAGCAAGTGACGGCATACGTGATTGGGTTCACTCAGCATTTGGTGGACTAATATGAGATCATTCAATTTGGTTCATCGCAATTAGATTCCAAGCCGTATAGGTAAGCTATCATTCCGGAAATGTACCAACTACACGTTTCTCCCTATTGGGGCTTGTCAGTGGTACTCATCCCTCAGTCCCATACTGGGGGTCAAACGCATGACTGCCAAAGGCTAACGCCAATTAGCTAGTAGCTTATGCCACTGATGCATGTGGTACGACATCTGACCATTACGAATAGAAACCTAACTGCCATATAGTCCGACACAATCACCACTGCCGTGCAGCTTAATGCCTGTGCAGAGGACAGTGTTTGGTCGTCCAGGTCAGGTCTTCCCTTGCCAGCGCCGTGAAGCCACACGGCATTTTGTATAATGGTAGGTCTTAGATTTCGATTGCTGATGATTACTAATATCTTTCCTTATGGATGATTGGTATGAGCTGCTGTCTAGTTGGCGTTAGACTCTAGCCGTCCTGGGTTGGACCCCCAGTATGCGACCGACGCAGGAGTACCACTGATGAGCCCTAATAGGGCGAAACGTGCATTTGGTGCTTTTCTGGATTGATAGATCACCTATGTGGCTTGGAATCTAATTGTGACGAATCTAGTCGAATGATACCCAAATCCGTCTGCTCATTGGTAATATGACTTCGCAACGCATCATTCAGTAGCGGTCACTGAAAACTCCCAGTGACTTCAGCGTTTAATGGTAGAGCAGATTTCGTAGGCCCTTGACGTGCTTTGTGGCTATGTGTTGTGGCTTTTCTAGCACTTCTAATTCACGCTTCCTCCAAATTTGCCAAGCATGTATGGTGTATTCAAAGTGAGGGCACACGTAAGCATTGTGCACCATGGGGAAGATGGATGGGCCGAAATTTCCCTAGACTCTACGCAGCGAGCCGACCTACTGGTTGGCTTCTTTCACAGCTGCCTCTAACTGCTTTGAACAGTTAAGGCCACTTAGAATGAGCAAGGTTCTTTGCAACAAATGTGACTTAAGTCTATACACGTGGTCATGCCTATGGTGCAATTGAACGGCGTGCCATTTTTCCACATTGAACGGTAAAGTGTTCTGAACTGACCAGTTCTAAATGGTGTTGAGGCCACGCCGGAGCTTATTGTGGTCGTTCGGTTCTGTGATCGGTCGCCAAGGCTTGATATCACCTGCGAAGAATACGAAATCGGAAGTAATTCTGCTCTGTAGATCGTTTATGAAAATCGAGAATAGACTGGACCCGAGCACCGACCCTTGTGGTACACCGCACTCCACCACAATTGCGTCGGACAGGGATTCACCTACTCTCACTTCCAACCGACGTTCGTGTAGGAGGTCTGCCATGCACTGTGAGATGGTCTATCTACAGGATATTTCTACCATGTACATCCTGTGTTCATGCACCTGAAAAAGGGGTTTCGCATTTTCCATACACCTGAGCTGTTCCACCATCCTCCAAAAGAAATGAGCGGTACAAACGGAAGTCTATAAAGGTAGTGTTA